CTAAAGAGGCTGCGGATGTTTAGATGGAAAAGAGATCACTTAGGACAGTGGTTCTCAACCTTCTGGCCCTTTAAATACAGTTCCTCATGTTGTGACCCAACCATAAAATTATTTTCGTTGCTACTTCATAACTGTAATGTTGCTACTGTTATGAATCGTCATGTAAATATCTGATCTGCAGGATGGTCTTAGGCGATCCCTGTGAAAGGGTCGTTCGACCGCCAAAGGGGTCGCGACCCACAGGTTGAGAACCGCTGCCTTAGGAGCTGGTGAATCTGAAAGGCTGTCCTGTGAAGGAGAGATCTTCCGGTTCTCTTTGTGGGCCCAGAGGGCAGGAGTTGGGACCAATGGGTAGATGTTAACATAGATTTGGGCTCAACGTGAAGATTTTTCTAACAATCAGAATTTCCAATCATGCAAATCATTTCCTGGGGATGCAGACATGGGACCCTCCCCGCCAGGTTCCTACCCCAAAAGTGGACCGCTGTTTGGTGGAGTATTGAATGAGGAAATCCAGCATTTCATGGGGCGGGGGGGCGGGATCGGAAGCCCACCAAGGTTCTTTCTGTGACTTTTGCAGTGCCCCCCAGTGGCCCCGTGTGCAGCCAGACCGGTCACACGTCTGTGGGAGGCTCTGCTGCCCTGAGGTGCAGTTCCTCCGAAGGAGCTCCCAGGCCCGTGTACAACTGGGTCCGCCTTGGATCTTCTCCTACACCTCCTCCTGGCAGCATGGTGCAAGGTAAGGGCCGGGCGTCAAGGAAGAGGGGGGGACTCAGGACCTGGGCAAACCTGGTCTCTAAACCCCACGCACCCACAGTACCAGCGCCAGGCCTGTGTGCATGAGACAAACGCTATACCTTCTCCCTGCATCTTCCTTGGCTCCTGTCTTGGTCCCTCCTGTCTGTCTCCGTGCACAGTCTGCGGCTGCGTGATCCTGGACGCATTCCTCAAGCTCAGTAGACTCCTGATATTGTGGAAGAGAGTGGAAGGCAGGGGCATTCTGTGATCCCCGCTTGTCTGTTTGGGAGAGTTTTTTTTTTTTGAGATTTCTTCAGGATCATGAATCATTTCCAAACTTCCTAGAAGGGAAACTGAGGCAGAGTAGCATGGACCATCTTGATCACTTAGCTGGTTTCTCTGGGGGAAGCATGATCACTTAGCTGGTTTCTCTGGGGGAAGCATGTAACTGGCTAAGAGCCTTGGCTTCTCAGCCTCCTCATGCCAGCCCACCCTCTCTCAATCCAGAGAGCCCAGATCACTTCCTGCTGTGTGCTCTGCCTTCTTAAGGAAGGTTAGCCCTGGCCATTTCGGCTCAGTGGATAGAGCACTGGCCTGTGGACTGAAGGGTCCTGGGTTTGATTCTGGTGGAGGGCACATGCCTGGGTTGCAGGCTCAATCCCCAGTAGGGGGCGTGCAGGAGGCAGCCAATTAATGATTCTCTCTTATCATTGATGTTCCTAGCTCTCTCTCCTCTCTGCAATAAAAATATTTTTTTTTTTTAAAAAAAGGGGAGAAGGTAAGCAGTTTAGAAAAGCACTGGGTCCAGCTTAGAGCCATCCCAGGGGATACAGTTTCTAGTGATGAAGACTCCCCCCCGCCCCCCACAACCAGGAACCTGACATCAGCCAGTGAACACCCACCCCAATTCCATTGCCAGTTTCTGAGCCCTTCACGCATGTGCAGCCTCCCCCTCCCTGAGAAGGCAGCTGCGTAGGGCGGAAAGTGCACAGGAGTTGCAGTGGCTTTGGCATTTATTAGTTAGGAAGGGACTGACTAATACATTGAGGTTAGTCCCTTCCTGACAGGATGAAATGAAAAATGCTTTCGTCACAGGGGGTGCTCCCTGCGAGTCCAGTAATGGAACACTTACTTCCTCTTTACTCTCTAGATGAGGTGTCCGGTCAGCTCATTCTCACCAATCTCTCCCGGGCCTCCTCGGGCACCTACCGCTGTGTGGCCACCAACCAGATGGGCAGCGCCTCCTGCGAGCTGACCTTGTCTGTCACTGGTAGGGATGCCGGGCAGAGGCCAGGCGGGCAGGCCTGGGCTGCAGAGGCTGCATGAGACGGTCTGAGGGGCCAAGGAGGGTGTGCAGCTCTGAGGGTCCTGTGTGTCCTTAGACCCTTCCAAAGGCCGAATGGCCGGGGCGGTGATCGGAGTGCTCCTGGGCGTGCTGATCCTGTCCGTCGCCGTATTCTGCCTCATGAGATTCCAGAAAGAGCGGAGGAAGAGGCCGAAGGAGACTTACGGGGGTAGTGACCTTCGGTGAGCAGAGGGAGGACAGGGCTCGGAGTAAGGGTAGATGATGCCAGCACTCAAACTGTGACATCTTTGGGGGGTATGGAGTGTCGCTCAGCCCTGGCATTTGGGGTGTGTGTGTGTGTGTGTGTGTGTGTGTGTAGGGGTGTATCTGGGTGTGAGCAAGTGTATAAGCTGCCCCTACCCTCCTCATACTTATAAGAATTTTCAGTTTACAAGGCCTTTCATAAACATCAACAGGTCGTGGATTCCAGGAGTTAGATTTGCCCTGAGCATTCAGCTGAATGTTAATTCTGTGTGTGTATGGGGGTGGGGGGTGCAGCAAGGAGAGGAGAAATAAGAGCTGCCTCTGTCATCCATTGTCAATTGTGGGGTCCAAACTTGGGACCAGAGCAGTATTCCTCCAAATGTGGTCTTCCCGTTGACCTATGAACCAGGAGGTCAGGGGCACATGCCCGGGTTGTGGGCTCGATCTCCTTTGGACAGAAATGACTGAGAGCTTGTTAACATTTAGATTCAGGCCACTTCCGACCCCTCCCGAAAGTAGCATGTGTGTGTGTTGGGGGTGATGGGGCCTGGAATCTTCATTTCAACCAGCGTTCGGCAGATGATTCATCCTCAGGCCCAGTCAAGTGTCCAGGTCCCTGGGTCGGGGGAGGAGTGTCCTTGGAGGGAGGGATGCCTCCAGCCGCCGCTAAGAATGTGTTTACAACCATCAGAGAGGACGCCACCGCTCCTGGGATTTCGGAGCAAACCTCTGGGATGACCGATCCTAGCGATGGGCTCCTGGAGAAGCCCCCCTCTGCCGCCTCTGTGAAGACCACCAAGTCCAAGCTCCCTGTGGTCGTCTGACTTCCCCGCCCATCACCGAGGGGGAACACCCACAATTAAAGCCTCCGGGTACCATCTTGTCTCCCTCTTCCTTCTGCGTGTAGCAAACCCCTAGGCGGCCGGAGTGTTATCAGTCAGGGAAG